GGTAGCAATTCATATAAACCCGAGAAATCGAAAAATTTACATTTAAAAATTTTTTTATCTAATTTTTTCAAAAAACACCCTCCACATAACTATGTATAAGTTTACCTACAGAAATACACAATCCATACACACAATCCATTTTTATAATTTTTTATTCAAACTAATCAAATAAAGGGTTTTTAATTCCCAACAAAACAAATTTTTTAATCGTTCCGGAAAGATTTAAATCTTTCAAACATTTTTTATTTAAATAGTAACCTCTAAAAAATATTTTTTTAATTTTTAGAATAATCAACAGCTTGTGCCTTTCGCAGTATTTGCTCAACAAGTTATAGATCAAGAAATTGTAGAAGCCCCAAGTGAGCCTGCTTCACCTCCTTTTTCAACAACCGAACATACAACTTCTACCGAATAGAAAAAATATTTTCATTTCATTTGGATTTTGAAAAGAAAATTTACGAGAATTTTTTAAAAAGAGATTATTTATTTTTGCATTATTTTTAAATTTAAAAAATTCCCTTCTTTCGCTAAATTGTACTGAAACAAAAACTTTGTCTTAAACCAAATTTGGAGAAATATATTTAAATTTATAAACAAAACAACTAGTAAAGATTGGACCAAAGAAATATCTGACGTTGGCATTCGTCCGATTTCTAAGCTTAATTATATTTTATAACCTTCCCCCCTCTTCTATGTATTTCAAAATTTAACTTTGTACTTAAACTTGGAATTCCGATCCAATCCTTGAGATAACCCATAGTAACAAATTTTGCTAGTACCTGATTTAAAGGAGCAATACCTAAGATTCTATTTTTTCCATTAATTAATTTTTAATAAATTACTAATTGTTTTATTAAATGATGGCCCTTTAATGCATTATAGCCAAAAATTATTTAAAGCCAAAGATTACCCAACTTTTGGTTTTTGTGTATTTCCATATATAAATTTATTTAAAAATTTATGGGAATTTTAGAATAAGAGAAAATCATATGAAAATCCAAAAATACCCATTTTAGCAAAAATTAATGTTTATGTAGGAATTCTCCTCAAAATTTGGTAAAATTTTATTCGAGAATTGTGTTTAATAATTCTTTTTTTATGACTGACATGAGAGTCATCGGGCAATGACTCTCACTGACATGAGAGTCATTGCACCGATTTTAGATTACGGCCCCTGATGTCAAAGTTAACCTTTATGGTAAATGTCCAGTTGACTCCCCACTTGTCCGCAAAGAGAATGCGCATTTTTCCTTCCTTTTCTTACATTTTTTTCTGCAAAGAGTGGCGCCAATTTTTCCCTTATGTATGGTATGCCCTTTGACTCATGAAAGGATAAGTAGAGAAAAATAATTAAATTTTTATTTAAATAAATAAATTTATTTTATAAAAGGTAATAAAATAAGATATATTCACTTAAATAATTGGAACATCATGCGATTTGGAATGGTTCGGAATAAGGTTTTTTTGAACAAACCGGTTATTAACTAGTACTCCCGGTTTTTGGCTAATTCAAATTTCAAAAACGCGGTTTTCGTTTTTGAGTTTTGGTCATATACCGGTTTATTCTGAGGCCGATCAATCTAGAAGTCGATCAATCTAGCATTTAATAGAAGCTGATTTGCCAAAATATCAGACGGTCTTTATCCTTTTTACTAATATATTTTTTCTACATATCTTTTCATGAGTCAAAGGGATGAGGAGAGAGGAAAAATGGGCGCCACTCATTACATCAAAAAATGCAAGAAAAGGAGTGAAAAGTGCATTTTCTCTTTGCGGACAGGTGGGGAGTCAACTGGACATTTACCACCTTTATTATTCAAAACAGTCTTAGAGAATCTCTTCAAAAATGCCTCTGATCTCGTCTTTCTCTTGTCATAAAAATGATTCCCCGCTTACAATTGTTGTTGAAACCTTTGATTATTTCTTTTTTGTTTTAATTAATATTTTACTAAAGTCGGCATGTAAGAAATCCCTAAAATGGTTCCCAAAATATACTAGTTTTTTTTGAGATGACAGAATTTCTATTCGATTTTATTTACCTCTATATTCTCTTGCATATTTACATTTATAATTTAAAAATCTCCAAAAATAATTCCAATTTTATGTTTGTAGTTTGTTTATTTCAATAATCAAGTTTGGAACATAAAAACCGTTAGAAAATAATATTTATATAAACGCGGGTGTGAAGCAATTTATTTAGAATTTACATTCACTTTCAAATAAAAATACCTTATACACAACAAACCAAAAATTAATTAAATGAATTCTAAAATTATTTTCATTTTTCTCTTAATTATTCTCGTATTTTATTCAAATCAAGTTGATGGTAAAGGAGGCAAAAAACCAGGCAAAAAACCTCAACGTAAGTTAATTTAAATAGTAAAGATTAGGAGTTCTAATAAGAAGAAAATGATTTTTATTTTAATAATTTCCAAGGGTTATTCTCCCAATTCTTTACTTCTATGTAAAACAATAAATCCTGGGTTAACCTATATCGAATTGTAATAAAATTTGAAAAATAAATTAATTACTGTAGAGATTTCAGCGACATCCCAAGGACCAAATCGAGCTGTCGTATCAGAGGAAATAATATTTGGGACAGAAAATATTATTCCCTATCCTTCACCAGTATGTGTATATTTTATTTTTAGCAACATGTACAGGCACAAAGCAGGCTTGCAGTTCTCGTTTACCATGTTGTGATAATAAACAGAAATGTGATAATGGTGGTAATCCAAGTAATGGCCCAATTTGTCATTAGTAATATTTAATGAAGGAAAAATAAACAAGATAAAAATTGTGTGACGATAATTAAATTACACCTATCCTTTCTTTACTTTCACTTTTCTGTCTTTTCAATTTTTTTTCCAAGAAATTAATCGTATATTAATTTAAATCGTCTGACAATAAAATTGTTATGGGACTTTGTTCAAATTCCACCCACACCCTTATGAGTTTTATTTTATTTCTATCTCTCCCAACATAATCAAATTTCCTACTTTATAAATGGCGATTCCTAATCCAGTTAGTCTCTTTCAGAATCTAAAATTAATTTTCATATGTAAGCAAAATATAAGCTCCATTTAAAAAGAAAATCCATAAATACAAAACCGGAATAAGTGCCATGACATTTTGGTGGTACTAGGCACTTTAAAACAGATTTAGTTTTTTAGACAACGGGGGAAATTGTCTGACAATTTGATATAAGTTGATGATTTCTAAGCTATAGTAGTCTACCGATTTGTTTTAAAAATTAAAAATTGCGAAACTTAACAGTTAGATTAATAAACAAATATTTGTGATTTAAAATTTGATTTAAATTTTTGATAGAAACTATAAATTGAATTTAAGGGCAAATAAAAAAATAAAATTTATTTAAATTAAAATTAAAACAACAATTTCCCTGTGGATTCAATTAGTAATGTTTTTGGAGGAATTTACACAACGTTTCTGACAACAAATTTTTAAAAAATCAGAACTCCCTCAATACCGAATCAAAAATTCTAAAATTTTGGAATATATTAGAAAATACACTAAAAATATAATTACCAAAGTTTCAAAGCTTTTAGATGTCCACAAAAGTTTTTATAAATATTTTTATAAAGAAGAGAAATTTTTATGAAGCAACATAATATTATAGCAAAAACACCTCAATTTAATTTTAAACATTTTAATTCTTATAAACATTTTAATAAACATTTTAAAACAAGTTTATTTTTTTGTTTGTTCAATTTTAAGTCTGTTAAATTATTTTTATTTTTATATTTTATAAATTTTTGAATATTATTTTTAATTTAAATAAGTGTTTGATCAAAAAGTATGTGTATGGAGGTTGAGTGGATTGCTTATTTGTTCGTAAATCACCAATGTTTTGAAGAAAGTTCTAAACAATCTATTAAAATTTGTTTTTTTTAAATTATTTTTTGTTAATTCTAAAAATTAATTTTTATTTATTTATAATTTAAATAAAATTTTATTCAAAAATCAATTTTTTTAATTTTCAAAAATCCATAAAAATTGTCGAAAAAATCGAATTCATAGATAATTTTAAATTTTGAATAAAGAAATCAATTGTACGTAATTTAAAAGAAAAATTTTAAGGCGAATATAAATATAGCATCAAATAAACAAAAAAAAAACATTTTTACGTTAAAAAAATTTTTTTATTTAAAAATTGTTTAATTAATTTTTATTACTCTTAAAAAATTTATTTAAAATTTTTGTTACCGTAAAATCTCTAATAGTGTGGCCGGCCATCTATTTTGAACAACTTTCTAAGAAAGTTATTCTATTAAAGGTGGCTAGTTAAATGGAGTGGGCAATGTAATTTAAATTTAAAAATTAAAAAAAATATTCGACTTGGAGAAATTATATCGAATAATACTAAACGAATTCAAGCAGGCATTGACTTTAAATGATAATTTAATATTAAGTTGGAAACAAATAATTCGAATTAGAAAATTATTAAATCTTACAAAAAAAGTTGGTCGAGGTTCGATTTATTTGAAAATTATGAGTTTTTGAATAAAAAAAAGTGCAGAAGTTTAACATAATCAAAGGATTAAGGAGGGGTTTGAGAGAATTAAATGGGAATTGGTTAATTCGAGTTATTAGAGAGGGGAGGAATTAAGGAAGATATCGTGAGACTAAAGGGTTTAGAGGATATGTATTTGAAATCGAGGTGTTGAGTAGTCGGAGGGGTAGGAAGATTTAGAGGATCTTACAATATCCCCTCAAATCCTCTTTATCCGTCTATTTCTTCAATTACACCGAACTCGCTATTTTGAAATATTCGAATTTGACAATATCCAATTTTACAAAAAAGTAAGTTTGAATGTGAATTGGAAAGTTTACTTTTCTAATTCTATTTGAAATAATATAAAAATTAATGGTTGTTTGATAGTGGGGGTTCGATACCTTTTGGGGGTATTTTTATTTATAATGATTATTTAATAATTTTTTTAGAAATCAAAAAAAAAATATTTTTAATTTTTTTTTAAATGTCAACAACAACAATTAAATTATTTATATTTTTTGTTTTTATTATTAAAATTGTAAATTGTGGGAATTGTTGTGGTAATCCACAAGTTAATGATGGTAATGGAAATGTTGTATTTGACAATCCAGGCAATGAGAATGACGTTGATGATGATGAAGATGAGGAAAGTCTTGCAGGTAAATAAATTAATATTTGGGGATTTAAAAGCTTTTGTTGTTGTTTATGCATTATTATTTTCACTTATTTCACTTGACTTCGCTAATCAAATCATTTCAAAAACTTACAACCCATACAATACACCACATATTTATTGAACTTTCCCTTTTCCATTCATGGAAATGTTGTAGTTAACAATCCAGGAAATTTAATAATCAAAAAAAAATTTTAATTTAGACTATATTTTAGATTTAAATGTTCAAAATAATCAAGATGATGAATCTGAGGATAGTCTTGCAGGTAAATAAATAAATATTTGGGGATTTAGAAGCTTTTTTTGTTGTTTATGGATTATTATTTTAATTTTTTAAAGGGATAAATGTAGATAACCTACCTGATTTTGAAGTTGAAGATTTACTTGAAGATGATGAGGAAGACGAAGAAGAGGAACAAGTAATAAATTTAATTACACAATTACGTTCTCGAAAGGACCAAGAAAAGTCGGCTATTTTAAGATACTCGAAAATTGTCATTTTATCGAGATTGGCTATAATATTTATGTATAGGTATATAAAGTTGGTGATGCTAATGTTATAGTTAACTAGGCAATAAAAATTAAAAGAATTAAATTTATTTTTAATTCCGAAAGGACTTGGGGATTTCAAAAAAGTGTTTCTTTTGTTTTAAAAAATATTTTTAGGAGGGCAATGTAATTAGTGAAGAAAGTGAAGAAGATTGTTCTGATACAATTTATTTTTCGCATCCACGAAAGTGATTCTGACAATGAAGTTTAAAGAGAAAAAAAAGAGAATTTTTTATTTTACAAAATTTCAATTTTAAAATTTTTTCCTTCTTTCGCTAAATTACTGTCTTTATTTTTACATATTATTCGGTTAAAATTATGAACATTTTTTACGGTTGCCAAGAAGCCAGAATTCCTCCTTTTTATTTTTAAAGATTACAAAAATATTTTAAAAATTAAATTTAAAAATATATTTAAATGATAAAAAATATTTTTTAATTTAAATAAGATTTTTATCAAAAAATAATTTTTAAATAAAAAAGGTTATAAATACACTCGAAAAATAATAATTTTAAATTTGGTCCCAATTTTTTTATATCAAAAGAGAAATCCTTTTATGGATTTTAAAAATTTTTTTAGAAATTTTTTTTCTTTTATTCTTTCAGCAACTTAAATAGGCAAATGAATGCAATTTGCACTTTAAAGTATTAGTTGGAATTTTAAATCTACAGAGTTTTATCTTGATAAAGCTTCTCAAAGTTGGCACCTCAAAAATGATAATATCCTTATAGAAATAATTTGCAAAAAAATAGATCAAGAAGACCACAACTATGTAGTCGCGGCACAACTGGGCGCAACTTTTATTATTTTATTTGTTTTTCAACCACATTACATTTACATTTATTTGTTTCAACATTTAACGCCTGAATGGCAGATAAATTATTATTATTAAAAAAAATTATTATTATTACAACTGGGCCCAATCAATTTTATTTTTTCCAAAATATCGAAAAAATTTTAATTTTGATCTGATTTTTTTGTTCTGATGATATCGGGGAATTATGACGGATATGTAGATGTTTATAAGTGTTTTATATTTTTTATTAATACAAAAAGGTATAATTATTAATACAAAAAGGTTTATTAATACATATTTATTAATACAAAAAGGTATAATAATTTCGAAAAAAATAATTTTAAGGGGGAGGATAGTTTAAATATAAAAATTAATAAATTTAAAAAATCATTTTCTTAAATTAAAAAATTTAAGAATCGCAGAAATTCTGAAAAGTTTTAATTTATTAAAATTTAAAAAAGTATTTTTCACTTAAATTCTTTTTAGGCTTCTTGTATTCTTGTATTTTAAAAGAGATTTATTAAAAATACAATTAAATAAATCTAATTGTTGTGTTCTATTGTCCAATTAATGTTGAATGGTTTTTATGAGTTACTCCCTTTTTTATGTGTAGGGTGTGGCAGAGGTGGGTCGGAATTTGGATTTCCGGCTCTTCCGATTTCCGACACCTCTGACTGTTCCTATCCGTCTCTGGGGTGTTGGGGTTGTTTTTATTTTATTTTTTTTGAATTCTTTAAATTGTAAATCCATAACTTGCTGGAATATTTCTGGCCCTTATCAACTTTGGTACCAATCTCTTTAACTTCATGAGTGAAAATGTTAAATACTAAATTTGGTAATAGTAACTACCTAAACCCTTTTATAAATTAATTTGAAATCTTTTTAAAAATTCAAAGAAAAATTTTTTCAATTTAAAAAATGTCAACAACAACAATTAAATTATTTATATTTTTTGTTTTAATTATTAAAATTGTAAATTGTGGAATTTGTTTTTCTGCTTGTGCAAATGAAGACAATGATGAGGATGACAACAATAATGATGGTGGAAATGTTTTAGTTAACAATCCAGGCATTACTATAATCAAAAAATTTTATTATACATATATTTTTAGCTGTTGATGTTCAAAATATTCAGGCTGGTGAGGATGGAGGAGAGATTAACGGTAAATATAAATTCAAAAAGAAAAATATTTTTTTAATTTTTGTGATTAATTTTTAAAGTTGTTGAGCAAGGAAACGTGATTGATTTACAAGAAGGATTTGGACAACCACAAGTAAATATTAATTTAGAGAGTTAACTCTCGATATTATAAACACGAAAGGACTGAAGAAAACTTTTCTCATATCAAATGAGAAATTCTTTTTTAGGGAAGGGGGTTAGTCTATTAAAATAATCAAATAAAAGGGGTCTTTTAATCACCAAAACTAATTTTTTAAATTATTCCAAAAGGATTTAAATCTTTCAAACATTATAAAAAATATTTTTTTAATTTTAAGAATAATCAACAGCTTGTGCCTTTCGCAGTATTTGCTCAACAAGTTATAGATCATGAAAATGTAGAAGGTGTTTCAAGCGAGTCTGCTTCATCCCCTTTTTCAACTAACGAACATTCAACTTCTACCGAATAGAAAAAATATTTTTATTTCAATTTGAATTTGAAAGAAAATTTAAGAGAATTCTTTTAAAAAAGAAATTATTTATTTTTGCATTATTTTTAAATTTAAAAATTTCCCTTCTTTCGCTTTGTTTTAAAACAAAAACTTTGTCTTAAACAAAACAACTAGTTTTTAAAGTTTTGAGTAACTTAAACTTTGTTTTAAATAAGTATATCTGGACAAAACCTAGCAAAACAAATAAATTAGTAAAACAATTTAGAAAACATGTTTGACAAAAATTAAAAACATTTCAAAACAAAAGTTTATAAACAAATTTAATTTGTTTGTTCAAGTTATAATTGGACAACATGTTTTTATAAACTTTTTTAACATTGTTTTTAATCTAAACATTTGTTTGTTCAAAAAGTTGTTTGACAATGTTAGTGTTTTTATAAAAAAGCTCTGATTCAAACAATGTTTTTCAGTTGACAAAAACATTGTTTTTAATTTAGGCTTGTTTGTTCGAGTTTATTTAAAAATTTCATAAAAACATATAAACAATCAAATAACAAACATCCTTCAATATAAACATAGTTAAATTCAAATACCTATTTAAACATCAAAACATTAATTAAAAAATTAAATATTAAGTAAATTTATACACAAAATAAATAGTATTTATATATTCAAAATAAATTTTTTTTTAATTTTAAAATTAAAAAATGCTTGTCAATTTATTTAAAATTTTTTCCTTTTAATTTTCTTCTCAATTTTAATTAAAAAGTATTAAAATTGTTAAAATTAGGCGGTGAAGATGGCGTTGTTGCTGGAGAAATAATTGAACGTTCCAATTGAAAGTTGTATTTATCAATATATTTAGCCTCTAATGCTCGTAAATTGGGTATTGGGGGAAGTTTGGAAAGCTGAATGGAAAACGAGAAAATTAATTTTTTGATTGAAAATTTTTGGAAAATTAATCAAAATATTAAGAGAAAAAGGAAGAAATTGATTTATAAAAATTACAAAAAAATATTTAACTTTAAAAATTAAACAAAATAATTTTTAAAATCGCTCCAAAAAATTTTTTATAAAAAATACTTGGAATATTACTCGTAGAAAAATAATTGTTTGATGAAAAATAGTTTTGTAGAAAATTTTCAAAAATTAGAAAAATTCTTAAAAAAGTTCAGAAAATTTTTAGAAAAAAAATTTTTAATTAGAAAAAAATAACAAAACTTACAACATTTTTCTCACTCAACACAAACGCAAAAAGTGGATTTAATTCAAACGGGACTCTATCAATTCCTCTAAAAACTGCATTAATATTGTGTTGATTTGTCTTTAAAGAATATTTTTAAAAAATAAAATTTTAGAAAAAACCGATTGAATGACATTTTGTCCCACTTTATCCAAATCACTAGTTGAGTGTCTATTTACTGTTGGATATAGACCTGTGACGGCTGGAGAAGCAGAAGAAAGATTACAATTTCCAAGACGACTAAAAAATAATTTTTAAATTTAAAAACAAAATTTAAAAAAATTACTCCAATTCGTGTGACTGGCTGTGTGTTAAACGTCCATAATTTTCAGGTATAGTACTGACTTTAAAACAAATTGACATTCCATCGACTTCTCTAAAAATTGTTAAAAAATTATTTTTGGAATTTTTAAAAATTATTTTTAAACCTTTATTCTTTTCTTTTTTTTTAATTTTCTCTTTCCAAATTTTTTATATTTTCCCAAAAATTAAAAATGTTTTATTTAAACGATTTTTAGTCCATCAAAAAATTATTTTTTTCCTTTCTAACTTTTTCTTTCATTTATTAAAATTTTCAACGAATATTAGAATAGCCTCAAAAAATTTTAAAAATTATATTTCTTATATTGTATTTGAAAGGCTGGTTCCCCAAAACCTGGCCAGTATACTTCCCCAAATTCTCTTAATCCACGCAAATCCCTAGATATCTTGGAAATTTGTTGGAAAAGGAGAAAAGAGGGAAGGGAGAGGACAGTGCGGAAGTGAAAAATTTACAACATCATTAATTTTAAAAAATTAAAAGACAAACCCTGCTAAAGAATATCCACGAGGTGGTCGTTTAGTCTTGCCCAAAATTATAATATTTGTAACGGCATCCAAAGCTTCGTTTCTAGGAGAAAAGCGTGCACAAAGAAATTTTTTCTTTAAAGCCCTTTCTTCTAAAAATTAAAAAAATATTTAGAAAAGTATTGACTAAAAATAGGAAATATTAAAAATCTTAGGCTCGGGCTAATCTTTAAAAAATTTATAAGCTCTGATCGGATGGCCTGTAGTCCGAAAAGAAACTGAAATCAAAGTCGTTAAAAATGTCTGGAGTTGGGATCTAAATAGAAGGAAAACTTGGAACTTGCCATGCTGATTTGAAACAAATCAATAAAAATTTTTAAAAAAGAAAAATGCGGATGGAGGAGAGGGTAGAAAGCACTTAAAATTATCCATAAATACTAAAAAACAAACTTGTATCAACAGTAAAATCCAAACAAATAAAGCTAGAAGGCACAGCTTCTTTGTCAGAAATAACAGCCAAATCAGTCAAAACCTCCAAAGGTCCATTCTTAAAAACTTGTTAAATTTAATTAAAAATTTACAAAAAAACCGTATCAGCAACTCGTCTATTAACGGCCAAATATCTGACAGAACGAGTAAATATACCAAAACCAAAGCCATCCTTCCACAAATCTGCATCGCTGTTATCGTCGTGAGTGGAGGTTATCTTAAAAAAATTGAAGTTAACTCATTCCCCTGTTTCTCTTAAAAATACAAGAATCATGCCGTCACAATTTTTGACCTTTTTTGCGTCGGAAATCCCGATTCCAAAATCTGAAATATAATCTTTGTCGGTATGATCCCAGCCGCAAATCTCTTAAATGTGGAAAGCAAACATAAAGTTACTTATAGATTTCACGAAAAATCGCATTTGCGCTCGCAACAAAAAATAACATTCAAAAGGAGACAAAATCGTCCGATTTTTTCCCATTTTTAAATTAGCATTCCTATCGCAGGACACATCACGAGCTTTATGTGAAGTACACAGAGAAATAACTATCGAAAAGTAATCAGTCTTAATTTAGTTTCAAAAAGTAAAAGGAAAATAAAAAGGGAAACCTAAAGTTCACCCCCCCCCACACACACACAAAACGAGAAAAATTATCAAAAAAATAAACAAACCGGGACAAAATTTGCCGGACATCTAGATTTGTCTGCTACAATTACAAGTGAAACAATAGGTAAACATTGTTCTTCCATTTCTTGAGAACGATTTAGCATTTATTTAAAATTGTTGAATTAATGAAGAAAAGATATTTTTAAATTAAATTTTCTAGAAAAATTTAAATTTAAAACAAAAGAAAACATGAATCACAACGGGGCCACAAAATTGTAGTAAGTTGTCGATTGACGGCGATTAAAAAGAAAAATGTCCATTTATTCGCAAAAGTTATTTTGTTAAAAAATGACAATTGATCCCAAATTAATTTAAATTATGGCTACCCTACAACTCATCCAATCCTTAACTCATCTAACACTTAACTCATCCACACGGTCAAAAACGCTCAACTCATCCAATCCTCAACTCATCTAATGCTTAACTCATCCACACGCCCAAAAACGCTCAACTCATCCAATCCTTGAAATATCGGCCGGTTGAGTCCCTAGCCGGTTGAGTCCCTGGTCAGTTGAGTCTCAACCGGCCCAAGACTCAACCGGCGGTAATCAACCACTCAAACGGCCGAGACTCAACTGGCCATGGACTCAACTGGCCATGGACTCAACTGGTCATGGACTCAACTGGTCATGGACTCAACTGGCCATGGACTCAACTAGCCATGGACTCAACTGGTCATGGACTCAACTGGCCATGGACTCAACTGGTCACCCTACTTACCAGAGACTCAAACGGCCGGAGACTCAGACGGCCAGAGACTCAAACGACTGGACTCAATAGTCTCGTTCCAAAGGATTGGATGAGTTGAGCGTTTTTGGCCGTGTAGATGAGTTAAGCATTAGATGAGTTAAGGATTGGATGAGTTGAGCGTTTTTGGGCGTGTGGATGAGTTAAGCATTAGATGAGTTGAGGATTGGATGAGTTGAGCGTTTTTGGCCGTGTGGATGAGTTAAGGAATTTTAGCCGTTTAGATGAGTTGAGCGTTTTTGGGCGTGTGGATGAGTTAAGGATTAGATGAGTTGAGCGGGCACGTAAATTATTTTTCTCATCGTCTCATCACTCACCACACTCTCTAATTATTTTTCTATAATTTGTAGGAAGTTGAGACATTAGAGTCTCAACCTTTAAATCCTTTAAAATCTTTATTTTTGTCAAAGAAAATTTTTTTCTATTTTTAAGAAATATTTTCTAAAAATAATGAATAGTAATGGAGATGTACGTAGACCAAATAAAATTGTCAGGTTAATTTTAATTTTTATTTTTCAAAAAATTTTCTTTTTTTAAAGGTTTAAACCAACAGATCCAAATGTTCTCCAACCCCTTTCAACTGAAGACAGTATTCCTGAATATATGAATATTTTGGGAATGATTTTCTCTATGATGGGATTAATGATGAAGGTTTTTAATTTTTAAAATTGGAAATTTTAAAGAGTAAACGGTGATATTTAAATAGTCTTTTTTGTAGATTTTTTCTCTTTTTGTTTAATTTGTCGAATATTAAAAATTTTAAATTTTTCAAAATAAGTCCCCAATTTAAAAATATACAAAAATAAAATTAAACTAGAAATATTGACATAAAAGGATAAGGAATATAAAAAGTCAACAGAAAATGTCGTGCCAATTTTTATAAGTACTCTAATCTGGTTGGGAGTTGCTTCTAGTATTTTTCCTCTTAAGTTATTAAAATTGTCCCCAAAAAAGTGAAGGTCGCATGAAAGTCTCTTTGCGTTTTTAACCAAAATTACATGAAAAAATGAGACACAATCGTGCGTAATTTTATGAAGTTTACATAAGCGTAAACTGTTTTTTTAATTAAAAATGCTGGCCGAGACAAGGGTCCTTACACTTAAAATATTTTTTTATTTTTGTATTGTCCGCAATTTTTATCCGCAAATATTTTAAGATTTATTTTTAAAGTTTAAATGGTGTTCGTGGGTAGCTCTTTTTTGTTCCTGTGTTTCTTTTGCCAATGTCCGAGCATCTGACGACACAAAACAAATTGTTTCTTCATTTATGCTTTCAATATCTGCTGTGGTTTGTTTTGGAAAGGAATTATTTTTTATTTTTAAAATTTAAGGTAATGAGTTATTTACAAAATCCAGCGCCGATTGTACCTCCGTGGGTTTAAATTAAATTATAAATTTTTGAGAATATTGAGGGAAGTTAAATTTTTTTATTTTTAATTTCATCTATTTGACGAGCTCAATTTTGACTTTTTAACGTAAAATAAATTTTTCTTTCAAATTTATGACGTTATTTTTAATGGAAACTAGATAGGTGTTGTCTAATTTTGGAGGGGTATACCCCGAATGTACCGTCGAGCCATAACTTTGTTCAAAATTGTCGAATCCTTGGCGCCCTGATATGGTTCGATGCGGCTTGACCAGCTGAATCAAACCATACCAGGGCGCCACGGATTCAGCAATTTCGAACAAAGTTATAGCTCGGCGGTACACTGGCCTGCTCCCTTTTTGGAGTATTCAAATCATATACATGTTAAGGGCATATAAAATCCCGACTAATGTTTGTATTGGTTTAAGCTTATGTAAATAATCGAGACAGTCTTTTTGTTTTTCATTTTTATAAATTAAATATTTAAATTAATTTTTAAAAATATACATATATTAAATTTAAAAAAAAGGAGAGAAAATTTTAATTTATTTAATCAATAAAAAAATTATTTAAATAAGAATATTACCTATAAAATCAATTTTCAAGAAAAAAAAAGCAATTAAAATTTTAAGAGACAAAGAAATTAATAGACAATTTTAAAATTTTAAATAAAAAAGTCAAATGCACTTTTTAAAAAATTTTAAGGGGAAGTAGTATATAAAAAATAAATTAATAAATTCAAAAATCATTTTTAAATTTATTTAATTATAACAAAAATTCTAAAAAATAGTCTAAATTACAGTGCCGGAAAAAAAGATAGAGCCAAGGGCTGTTGAATTAGTTTTTATCGATTATCTCTTTTCGATTAACATTTAGGAAAAAGTTTCAACACAAAAAATTGTAGATCTTTGTGCTCTTTAAAATGAGTATAAATATCACTATGATCTATTAACAAACTTTTTACCAAAAATTTTTAAAAAATACTACCCCATTTTTGGGGTGGAAAAAAAGATAGAGCCAAACCATAAAAAATTAAAAATCCCAATTTTCGTTCGGTCAAAAAATTTCCAAAAATTTCTGGGGTCATTTCTATCGATAACGAGTAGAACAGAAAAAAGAACGAGATCTATAACTTCTTTTTTGACCGAGATCTCAAATCTCAAAAATCAAGGGAAAACTGGGGTGTAGTACTTTAAAAATTATTTTAGCCCCCTTGGGCTTATATAAAATTTTTCTTTTAGGCTCATTTGAAAGCCCATAAAATTCTCTACAAAGTAGTCAGGAACTTATTTTTTTTAAAAAAATATCTGTTTGACGCAAGTTCATTTTACATTAAAAATGCTTAAAACCTCCCAAAATACCCCAAAAATGATAACTTACTCTAATTCCCGGCCTTTATCTCCATGAATCTTTTGGCGGAAAACTTTTTGTTGAGATATTTTTGTAGAGAATTTTATGGGCTTTCTAATGAGCCTAAAATAAAATTTTTTGTTTAGGCTCTAGGGGGTCAAAATATTTTCCAAAGTACTGTACCCACATTTTCTGTTGATTTTTGCGATTTGAGATCTCGATGAAAAAAGTAGTTGCAGACTTCATTCTTTTTATTTTTCTACTCAGTATTGATGGAAATGTTGGCAGGAATTTTTGTAGAATTTTTGACGGAACGAAAATTGGGATTTTTAATTTTTTATGGTTTGGCTCTATCTTTTTTTCCACCCCAAAAATAGGGTAGTATTTTTAAAAAATTTTTTAGCCAAAATTTTGTCGGTAAATCATAGTCATACTTATACTCATTTTAAAGAGAATTTAAAGATCAACAATTTTTGTATTGAAACTTTTTTCCTAAATGTTAATCGAAAAGAGATAATCGATAAGAACTAATTCAACAGCCCTTGGCTCTATCTTTTTTTCCTGCACTGTAAAATTAATTTTCACTAAAAAACTGGAACTTATATGGTTTGGGTACTCTTTTTTTAGCCACGCCCTTTTTTCCACTTCCATCATCAATCAACCTTAATATGGACAGAATGGTCAGCATTTTTTCTTCCTCAATTTCACTCAATTTTCCCTGTGGCATGTTCAATGACTGACAAAAACAAAGAAAAGATTATTTTTTCTTTCCAATGTCAAAAATAGAAGTTAAAAATTGAATCGATAATCTATGTAATTTTATCTATTTAGTTGTTTAAATGGACCCAAGTCTTCGTTCTATAACTAATTATCCGGTATTTTTGTGCGTTTCGGGCATTTTTTCTCAAAGTATTGACAATTTTCACCCCATTTTTGGCCCCTGTAACTCAGTTCAGAGATATCACTGACAGATTCTGGTGTCATTCACTCATCTCGAAGAGATATAATGAGCTCTAGACCTATTTATTCACTGATTTTTTGTATATCTTAAACAAAAAATTGACCTCAGCTAAATTGACTGATAGGAGACAAGGAAGAACAGTAAAAGAATAATGCTGTAAGAGGAAAAAAGGGCGTGGCTAAAAAAGAGTACCCAAACCATATAAGTTCCAAAAAACTTGTCTGTGTAATGATGTAGTGTTGTGGTTGTAATTAGGGTTTGACCCCGAATCCTGAGGCACGTTTTTCTGGGTGCGTTGGAGGATGACTGGCAATAAATTGTGAGTGTTATTCTGTCAGTCATACTCCAACACACCCAGAAAAACGTGCCCTCAGGATTCGGGGTAATTGTTGTAATTGTTTGGGGGGGGGGGGGGGTAAGGTTAAAGGTTCACCACTGGATATAAAGGAGTCGATGAGTAAATTAACCCAAATTACCCCATAAATTGCCATTATTTCAAACTTTTAAACTTAATCGATGGCTCTCTGTTCTGGAATTTTTCTTTAGGATAGGACCTAGTGTATTTTGTAGCTAATTTTATTGGCTTTCAGATGAGCTAAATAAAAAATTTTACATACAGTCTACGATTTTGAAAATATTTTTTAAGTACTGTATCCCCCATTTCCCGTTGATTTTTGTAATTTTGGAACTCGATGAAAGAATCCCTTACAGACTTCGTTCTTTTTGCTTTTTCACTTATTATTAATGGAAATGTTTGCATAAATTTTTTGTAAATTTTTTCAAGCATTCCTAATACGATTTCTGTAGGTGAGGTTATAGCTATGTGGAGCATTGTGTTCCCCAGGGGGATTAATCGAGAAAATACGGTATGTATGTATTATTTTTAGTTTGTAGTTTGTAATTTTATTCAAAAATTTTTTTTTATTTTTTAAAAAATGTCAACAACTCCAAAATTATTTAAATTATTTTTATTTTTTGTTTTGATTATTAAAATTGTAAATTGTGGAATTTGTTTTGGTAAACCACAGGTTAATGAGGGTAACAATTATGTGGTTAACAATGATGGGGATAATGATGATGGTTTTCAAGGTAGATTAATTAATTAATTGAGGGGGTTTTTTTGGTTGTATGTATGAGGAATTTTATTTAATTTTTTAAAGGTTTTGAAGTCGACGAAATACAAGATTTTGAAAGCGATTTTGTAATTAATTTAATTAAAGTCTTAACTTTCAATATAGGGATCGAATAATTTTTTAGGAGTAAATTCATTTCTGGGACTGAGGATTTTCTTGTTAATTTGAGAGTTCGTTAAATTAATTGGTCACTATATCGGGGCTCGAATGTAACATAAAAACTATAAATATACACAATTTCTTTAACAATAACAACTCTCGGAAGTTTTTTTTTTAAATTTCTTTTTCTCCTAAACTAAAAAATAAAACAAATTTCGATTTTTTTCTAAAAATAAAATTTTTAGGGTCATAGCAGTACTGCTAGTGCATGTTTTTCAACTGATAATGATTATTATGATGATGATGATTATTGTTATACATAATGATTAATTTATGTAAGAAACAAAGAAATTCTTTACTAAACAATCTTTTGATTATTTTTAAAAATTATTTTTAAACAAATTTTCTTTTTTTTAATCGCTGTATTTTTAAAACAATTGTACATACCTATTTATGTATTTTTTTAAATTTTTTGTGAAAAATTTGCTTTTTTTGGACTTTAAATGTTAATTGGTCTTCTACAGGGTGGGGAAATTGAGGGAGCTTTTTCTTTTTTTATTTTATTGATAAAACTTTAAGAAAATTTATGGAACCAAATATTAAAAATTTGGTTCATCGATATTAAATATATTTGCGCCCGAACATCTAAAATTGTCAAAAAACATGGGCTCTTGTCCAGTTTAAGCGTCCAATCGTACCTTTATACGTCCAATGAAAAGTTTATACGTCCAAACGAATTTTTATGCGTCCAATAACTTTGATGTGTCCAATCACATTTATTAAGTACCCGGTTCTATGTGTTAAAACCTAAGGTCTGGTAATATGCGTGTGTATTATAACTTTGGTTACTTCGCTCTTAATGATCCAATCTTATGTATATTCCAATCTATCTTTTAAGGATTCATATCTCGGCTCAAGAACTATGTAGATAAGAGCATTATTTAACCATTATTCGAATCAGCTCGAAAATACAATTAAAAGTTGTAAAAATATAAAACTTTTCATTACTAAATATTTACTATTTATTCAAATCCTTTTCTTTAAAATTTCTACTTCCCTTCTTTGTAGGCGCTTTTTAAGGCCACATGCATTACATAAATAATGTCCAAATTCTGAATGACGGCGCCAAATTGGTGTTTCTGTAACACCGCATAAATAACATTTATGACCGTGTTTTTTGGTAGACTTAAAAAGAAAGTTTAATTTTATGTTGATCTATTACAATTTTTATATTATTATTCAATATATAAAACACTTATCTAGTATAACGTAGGGTTGAGCTGAATCGGTATCGGGCGGGATTATTCCGGTTTTTTCGAATCCTAATCCCCTCAACTCTAGTATAACGGCCGAAACCATCCCTTAAATTATGGATCAGATTTAATCAATGAGAATTCCGATACAAATAAATTAACAGATCAACAATCCCTCAACCAAACTTAATTATGGATAAAGACTGTTGTGTTTGGACAA